ACAAAGTTCAACTTGGACGATCATGAGAAATTTTGGCCTTGGTTGGACGATCCTGGGAAATACCCTCTCATGGAGTTCCAGAAAGTACGACTAGTATTACTAGCATTATCCGGATGTTTTCGAATGCCAAATGGTTCGCGCGCAATCAATCTTCCAGAACCGAGGATGGTGACAACACCACGAATGACACAGTCCATGCACCACACTGCAAGACTCAAACGCTACTAGATCGAATCAAACTTGTTCATTTGAGCCATCAAGAAAGGCTCGTGAACTATCCGGACGACAGCCTTTGGAGAGGTAAGTTGTGTACCCTATGTAGACACCAATCTGGAGCGTTTAGACTTCGACTGGGTTTGATATGCGTACTTCGTATCCTTCTTAATCATTATGAAATGATTTACATATTAACAAGTTTGAAACATTCGTACAAGTTCATCTTTGGTGGCTGACCAGCAAACAACCGTAAACTCGAGACCTAATTATCCCGTCAACAGTAAATCCAGTATTTCCCTCATCTCCCAGCAAGAGAAGCCTGGCTGCAAAATCAATTACCGTAAATATATCGCAGATTCATTCGTCCCTAACGAATATTTACAGTAGTCGACAGCTTCGAGGGGGCCTGCCAAAACAATATCAATACAAAGAGTTTTTTTGAATTTCCAACACCTCCGCTGCATGTTAACGTTCGACCAATGAAAAGAGAGTAAATTTATTACATCACTGTTTCTGAACTACTTGAGTCGTTACTGCTGCTGCTGCTGTCGCTGCCGTCGCTGCTGCCGCCTTTGGTACCATCGCTGCGGTCGCTGTCGCTATCACTTGCATCGCCTTCGGGTTGCTCCTTGATGTACGCCGCAAGCTTGTTGAGTTGCCTGTCGGCCTTGTGTATGCAGCCCTTGATGCTGCTTGGAGTCAAGTCCTCGAATGCCTTCATGAGCCGCACGCGGACGTCTTTAAACGTGGTGTCTTGTGTATACTGACGTCAAACCTGCACAACATTAGCATATATATGCATAGTAAAGATCACTGTACTTGGCACTTTACGATGGCCCAAACAATCTCGATTGGTTGAAGGTCACTGTGGTAAGGCGGTGTGCAAACAACCTCATGCCCTGCGGCACGTGCCAAGGATACAACCTCGATGTCAATCTTGCTCACATGCACACTTAGCTTTTTCCACAATGCAGCTTTCGTTTCATTTGTGAAAGAAATGCCGTACGCCGTGCAAGCATCCTGTAGGACACTCTTCTTATTTCCATACTTCGGTGTATCCAGAGGAAGCCCTTTATGGTATTTTGCATTGTCCATTACTATAACAGCATTTTGTAACCCAAGATCATCTATTTCGACAAGAAGTTTGGAAAACCAACTGACAAAGTATGCATGGTCGAACATTCCGTGATAATCCACCTTGAAATACATCCAAGCATAAGCGCTTGCTATCCAAACAACCACTATCTAAAATGGCAGCAATAAAACAAAATCTTTCACCTTTGTGTTTTTCTTTGACTTCAAGATCAAGGTCATCACTCGGATTATATAATGAATCATCATGCCGGCTATAATGGTGATGAATATAACTCTCATCCATATATATAACAGGCCGTCGGTTGACATCGCCCGACAATATATCACACATATCAGAAACATACATATCACGATGCATTAGCTTCGCACATGCGAAGGCCTAGACCTCTCTTCTTCTTTCCCCTCTTGTACCCAAGTTTTGCCAGGACCCTCTGGGTTGACCGGTAGGCTGCTTGCGTTGACGATTGCGACTCTATTTCGAATTCCAAGAGGTTTTGGGACCGCAGGAAGTGGGCAACGTCCTTCGCCACTGTCCGATATCGTCCTTGGCGACGCTGGCGAACGAAGTCTTGAATGATCTTGGCCAGGTCTGACGTGACGGGGAGTCTTGTTCGGAGAGACATGTCGCAGGGGGCTTGGGGCTTGGTCGTGGTGGAGCCCTTTTCGACGAACTCTTTCCACACTTGTTGGACCAGCTGTGGCTTGCGGCGCAAGAGACGGGCGGCGGTGCGAGTGGACGCGGTTGCATCGTCTTGGCGCAGAGTGGCGTTGACTATGATCATGTCGAGGATCTCGTTTCGTGTCACGTATCTTGACCGTGAGCGCTTCACGAACGCAATGGCGCGGTCTACGTCACTTGCTTGGGTTGGCCACTAGGTATGGTTGGTTTGTGAGGCTGGTGTCGAGAATCAGAGCCAGTGTGCGTGTGCGTGTGTAATGGGTGAACTTTTCGCCTGTATAGTCACAGTTGGTATTACATGTCAGAGTATATTAGGTAATAGGGTGAAATTAGACAGGTTTTGGAAATTCGAGGCATCGTATCTGTGGGTGCATAAGGTTTAAAGGTCTATTTTCTTGACACATTTTTAGCTTATTTGCAGCGCTACATTTTTTCTTTTCACTTTTTTATACTGCGTTCGTGCAGCAAAAGTTATAGTTAAAGGCCCCCTCAGGGCTGTCGACTACATACTGTTAATGAACATATTTTTTAATAGCACTGTACGACAATGCTGCTTGTGCAGTAAGCAGACACTCGACTTCGCATTTGTGGAGAAACGTGGACTTGGTCTTGAACACGTATGATTGCAAAATATGGTTTACACAGCAAGCCTGCATTCATGCAGTGGCGTGTCTGAATTCCCTGTAACAAGATCCATTGACGCTGTATAACACGTACTACTCGTGCGGACATTACAACACAATTTACAGCGCCCATTTAACACCCGTGCGCCGTTGGACTAAGTGCGTGACTCGCCATCACAAGCGCCACAGGCTTTGGTCGGTGCTGACCAATCGTCCAAGCCTGGTCTAAATACGAAGAAACGAAAGCGATCGCTTGGAATGCGCAGTTAAACATTGTTGAACATAGTTAATTTTGTTAACTGTAAGTACATTGAGTTGACCTAATGTGCCAAAAGGACGGTCGAAATAATGAGCAGTCGTTTGACCTGTCAAAAGGAGGGTCGAAATAGTGAGCCGTCGTTTGACCTGTGAAAATGAGGTTGAAGTAGTATCAGTTGCTGTACCTGTCGATTGGAGGGTCAATAATGTACCTATCAAATGAAAATGCAAATGACTGGTCACAGGGCTGTCTGTACAGTACGGATACAGATATCGTCCGGATTGTACCTCTATCAAGTTCATTTCCATTTCTTCATTTCTTGATATGGAGGAAAACAATCTTGTCATGTGCCTCAGGGATGACTGGATGTCAATCCACATCCGAAGGCAGCACAAGGAACACTGCAACAAGTATTACCATACGGGTGAAAACACCGACACGTCGTGATCTGACAGGTTCACGCAGTACATATGATTATACTTCCAAGCGATTATTGATGATGAAGCTGCGAAGTGGAATGCTAAGTCCATCACCGAACAACCTAATCACCGAAAAGGAGTAATACGCAAGCTAGAGAGCCGTCAAATGGACACTCGTATGCCTGCTGCTTCGATGCAGCAAGTCTTAATAGAGAACAATGCAATGCTGAAACAAATATTTCTACCCATGAAACTCCGGGTAAGATCATGTAGGTAAACCATGTATCTGATGTCGACTTGTTGAAGCTCCAGTGTCCAGAGAACCCGCCTGTCAACAACCAGGTATCACATAATGGATGCTGATTGTATTTCTAATTGCAGTAAAGTGTCCGCTACGAGTAGTTCTAATTGGAATTCAGTTGTAGCTCCAGCAACCGCATCGTCGACCCGCCAACCACCCGGTAACATTCGTATTTACATTCTTTATGCCTGTTATAATTGTAGTAGCAGCTTGTCAGCACGACTTACATCCGCGACTTCAACTTGTCAAGCAGGTAAAACTATTACAGGGAACTTCAGAATGCAAGGCCTACCTTACCTTCGAGTGGGATGGAAATAACAGATTTTGATTGGTAAATGTACTTCGAAGTACGGTGTATATTTCTGCCAATGATATTGGCCCATCAAAATAATATTCAGATCTTTGAAAGAGCTATTAAAATTATAGAGGAAATTTAATTATGAGTCAAATTTACAATGATGTTGTTTGACTGTAAGAAATCAAACTTGTAATTCAGGAGGTCATTCAAGAATAGAGTGGTATTAAAACTATTGGTATAATATTGTACAATGATTTATATGGTAAACACGGAAGAAGCGTAAGCGTTTGACGCAGTGCCGCAACGGTTTAGTGCGACGGCATAACATTATTGAGGAAGGGCCCAGGGTTCAATTCCCGGGGAGTGTCAAACTTTTCCCAATTTTTATTAAAAAACATACAAATTCCAAGTATACTGAACTTTCACACGTATACTGAACTTTCACAACAGATAATATAAAAACGAATTAATCCATTGGTTCCTGAGGAAGTGCCTTTTCAAAGCTGCCACGGATAGCGTCGGTGGACAGCTCTCTTGATCAACGCCAACCTCTTCTGCCGGGCGGTGAGTGAAAATGGATCCTCGTCTTCTCCTGTGATGATGTCTTCAAACAACCACAGTTCCCGTAGGTAGCGCTTGAAGGGCGCCATCACGCCGACGTCAAGGGGCTGGCACATCGACGTTGAGTTTGGAGGCAAGGGGCAGAGATGCAACCCGAGTTCTTCGTTGATGATCTTGTAGGATGCTTCGGACACGTGTGAGTCGAAGTTGTCGACAAGGATCACTGACGCTTCTTCGATGTGGTCGTGCAAGACGGTGCGCAGGTAGAACTTCCACACACGGCCGTCCATCCACGCTTTTTCTTGGACTGCATAATAATAGGAATGGCCAGCAGGAAAGGTCGGAAACTCTCTAGTTTCGATTCGGCCACCAGGCGTCCCTTTCATGATGAACAGGATCGGGAGTTTGGACCCATCCGCCTTCGCGGTCAAGACAGCCGTCATTCGCATCGAATGCTTATCTCCTGAGGATATCTTGGAGCTGCCACCACGAACAGCCCAAATGTAGTTAGGTAGCATATCATAATATATACCTGTCTCATCCACATTGTACACGCTCTCCGCTCCATGTGCGCGGTACTCACGGTGGAATTCAGCTGCAAAGATGTCATGAGTGTCCTCGAGATCCCCTTGGCTTCGTTTACTCATGCCAGGTCGTTGTCGCGAGATGCCATGACGTTTGCAAAAGCGTTGTAGCAGAAGGAGCAGTGAGTTGTACCCACAGCCTGGCTTTTTGTCCACCAAGTACGACACAAGCCATTCGCGTTGATTGCGCTTCACCCACGTCACCATATGGATCGTAGTAAGGGCTCGTTCAGAGTCTCGTAATCCATGGATAAACTCAAGCAACCCGGTAGGCCCGGAAACACCCCGGGTCGGCCGCCAGGTGTGAGTTTCATGCGCTTCTTGTTGCCTCTGTACGCAAGGATTTGAGCGCGTTTGGTGACCCAGTTTCGCAGAGTTCGACGGGCGACACCAAGTTCAGTATCGACCTGATATACGCTCATTGTCTCAAGGAGGCCCAGGGCCTGGAGCTTGAAGGCTATCGGGTATACATGATGCGCGCCATTGAATAGTATTGGTTTGAAATTATTGAATTGCGCGCGGGCGGGATAATAAAAAAATATCCAATCAAAACCAAGAATTTCAACGAAATTGTTTGATTGGACAAAACTACGGCTGTAATGTTGAATACTTCGGTAGGCCTTGCATTCTGAAGTTCCCTGTACTCATATTCATATCATGGTACTTTGCAAATAGCTGGTTGTATTATTAGTCACGTCATCTCCACCGAATAAAGCAACACTATTATTAGTCACGTCATCTCCATCGAATAAAGCAACACCAACTCGACAAAGCCGGGGTGAGTTCTATTGTTAGTCCACTACGAGTACTTTTCAATTGTAGCACCTGAAACCACATCATCCATCCCCCAACCACCAGGTATTATTCATATTTATATTCTATATGCATATTATAATTGCATATTATAACTGTTGCAACAGTTTCGCCCTCTGACCGGACGACCACATCATCGACGATAGGCAAATCTTCGGGTGGGTTTGCAGTTTGGTTTTAGAGTTAGCGGTGACATGTTTCAATGTTATGCAGGGAAAAGAAAGGAAGTGGAGGACCATATGATGGTATTATTGAGGCTAGTTCAATCAAAGTGGGCTGCCGAGGATCGGCGAAGCAATCTGCGTCGACGCAACTAGTTGCTTAGCTAAGTTTACATGAAACAAATGAATAAATTTCATACTATTTGTCCGGAATGAGCAAGTTATGAGAATGTTAGCCGCAGTAAACCCTGGAGTACTTGAGTATATGGTACGCACAGCTGTCAATACCAGTAGTTAAATCGTGAGTACTGTACGTTTGCAGCAATTTACTCATCCGGATATTTATCCGGATCATCGATTAACAGTGGCCGACAGCATCGAGTGACGTTATAATTTTCATATCGAATTCGACAATTATATAGAAATAGCGAGTATACTGTTCATTCTTTAAATTCATCAAAGTGTAATTATACGTTTTTAAGAGGTTATTATTATGAAGGTGAATTAACTAGAGTGCTCACAATCGCGTTCAGCATCATATCACTGCCACTCTGCGCCGAAGATCTTCGTCGGATTGTAAGACATCAATTGCCAGCAAATGTTCGTACAGCTTCTGCAATTTCCCCACTGCAGCTTTGATACAGCCTTGAATAGTGGGGCTTTCAACACTTCGAACGCTTCTTCGAGTCGTTCCTTCACATCCGCAAGCCCCGTACCATCAGTGTAGCGACGACCAACATGTCCTTTCATATTCGCCCACACCAGCTCAATTGATTGCAAGACCTAGTGATAGGGGGGGTGAAGACGACTCTATGGCCCTTGTCGATTGCCATTTGGACTAGTTTTTGAGGTTGGATGTGCTTTTCAATGTACGCCGACAGCCTTTCCCAGAGAATGCTCTTGAAATCTGTCGGTTCGAACGGTATCCCATATCGCGTGCATGCTGCCTGCAGCGTTGTTTTGCATAGCTAGCTGGTCGGTTTTCCGACAGGCCTGCCTTTGTGATACTTGGCATTATCCATCAAAATGTACGCGTTTGCCACACCCATATCACCCAACTCTGCAAGCAGCTTGGCAAACCACTTCACAAAGTAGTCGTGATTGAACATAGCGTGGTAGTCCTTGGGCTGCTTGGCCGTCGACTTGCCACCACGAAAGATGTCAAGGGCTACCACCTGGCACTTCATGTCCGGCGAGTCCAGAATGCCAGCTATGAAACAGTACCGCCACCCTTTGCGGTTTTCCTTGCGTTGAATATCCAGGTCGTCGCTGGGGTCGAATAATCTGTCGTTGTGGCGCTTGTAATGCTGGTGGATGAATGACTCATCCAGGTACACAACGCTGGCTTAGTGGATGCATCACCGTGACGTACGAGTCGCGAGCAAGCACGTTGGACTTGTACAAATGGTAGCTGGATGAGCCAGCCTTCTTCCCACGCCTGTAGCCCTGATGTTTCAAGAAGCGTTGAACAGACCGTACGGCTGCCAAGTCTGTGCCTCAACTTCCATGACATCCATCTCGTTCAAATAGGTCATCACATCGACAGCTGTCGTTCGTGTGCGCGTGGCACGGCGATCACGTACGAACTCCTGGACTAGTGCAACGTTTTCAGTTGTGCGTGGGACACGTGATGGGTGAGTTGACATGTTGGCAGCAGGTTGAGCGTGGGTGACGGTTCCATAGTTGCAGTACTCGTTCCACACACCACGCACAACAGCAATGTTCCTCCTGAGTGCCTCTGAAACATCTTTGGCACCTGCTTATCTCCTTCGCCTTTGTAGAACGCCAGCGAGCGCAATATGTCAAGACGCTCCTCGCTAGTGAGAGTACGCGGCCGTGCCATCTTGACGAATGTCATGCAATCCTTTGCTGTAACGTTAGTATCCATCGAGTAGTGAGTGAATGAATAAATGAAAGTGCTGCCACGAAGGCATAACTTTGAAACCATTGCTATGAATACATGTAACCACTGCAATGGCGCAACATCCATGAAACTACTGGTATATTTAGTCTTGGCAGTGACTGGAAAGTGGAAGGTACTGTGAGTCCTTGATAAAATAGACCTTTAGAATTTAATACTACGATTGTATATAAGATTTTACAGGTTATGTGACGACAAGTTCAAAATCAACCTAACAGTTTAGTTTGTTTTTCGATAATATTTTGAAGGATATACGTTTCCAGAGAGTTTTCGATTACACAGGTGGATTTGTCATTGAATTCTGCATCTCTCATAGAAAGTCTCATACAATTCTGAGTTCATAGGCAAAAATACAGACATAAACTCTATTTGTTGCTGTCGGTCGCTTTAAGGAAACTGCATTTCCATGGATGTCAAAATGATTACGTTGCAACGAGGGAATTGCTCGTCCGAACACGGCCTAAGAGCCTGTTCCAAGTACAATTCAAAAATCTCGAATAGTGGGGTGACAAAATACTTCGTCCCATTTTGTTGCCATTTTACGGCCATGATTGATTAGACATAAATTGATTAGACATAAATTGATTAGACATAAATCGTGTCCATAAAATGCAAAGTGATTGGTCAACATAGTATTGTACCATGGGCTTTCACTGGCTCCCGTTACAACGGTCCAAGCCGAGGTCCGTCATAGCGCTTAGCAGACCAAACGGGGTCGACCGTCACGAAGAAGCAGTCACTGCTTCTTCGGCAACTCTAGTCGCCCATACGATAAAGCCTGGCAACTGCGCTGCCGCACTATGGTTATCTGTGTTCATTTCGACACTCAATATTCAACCTCAGAGATGTGTTGAGAGCATAGGACCAATACTTGGTGTGTGATGCGATAATGTCAGCCAGTAGTTTGGCGCTGCAATGAGTTGTCGAAAATGTGATGAAACGCATTAATTTTCGGATAAATATACTTATCTGTGTTCATCTCGACACTCAATATTCAACCTCAGAGATGTGTTGAGAGCATACTGTAGGACCAATACTTGGTGTGTGATGCGATAATGTCAGTCAGTAGTTTGGCGCTGCAATGAGTTGTCGAAAATGTGATGAAACGCATTAATTTTCGGATAAATATACTTCTTCCGTATCACGAAAAGTGTGGATGTTGAGCCTTCTAAAATTATATGAAATAAACTGTGCATTATCTACTTACCTGTGGTGACGACGTAGACGTAGTATTGATCGCCACTGTGTCGTGGTTAGATTCTAAACCTTTTGTGATCGGGGCTGAGCCAAAACATAACTTTCCAGATCCTGGCCCTCTCCCCCGCGACTTTGTCCTACCAGATACTCACATTGCAATGAAAACTCGCGTGTTTCGATTATATATATAGTGTTCAACAAAACAACTAACCAAATCGTCAGATACTCAAACCAATATAAACTTCTAGCAAATTTGTCATTTCACGCCAAGTTTCCAAATTACTGTATATATTCTTCAGGCTGGACCAGATTGATGGATTGGTGTGGTGAAATGTAAGCCCCGCCATTCATGAGAATTTTGAACAGCTCCAGTAGTGCCTCAATCTTATTGGTCCGTGGCAAGTCGATTTGCGCGCGAGGAGATCAAACGACTACACCAGTCAGTTTGTCCACTGATTCATACAATCACTCATACAGTGCCATTATCACATTTACACCATTGCTCAATCATGGTGCTCAACGTAGCCGCCATGAGCACTCGCTTCCAAGACCAAATCGTGTCCGACGAAGTCTTCCTTGGCCAATGCCTTGACGAGTTCTCCGACACCATGGACCGACAAGACGAGGTCAGCGACTCTACCTGTCGCGTCCTCGACAAAATCCTGGGCGACAGCGGTGAAGAAGGCGTTCGGGTCATGACGAACTTCACACGTCGCGAGTTCGACATTCTGTGGAGGTACGTTGAAGTCACGCTCAAGGCCCGATGGCAGGACGGTCGTGGATCGAAATCCACAACAAGCCCCAAGGGCGCCTTGTTCATGACGCTGACTGTGCTCAAGCACTACCACACGTGGGAGAAGTACACCATGGACTTTGGATATAGTCCGCCCACGTTCCAAAAGCTGATTCTGCAGGTCATCGAGTCTGTGGGCCCGGTGTTCGTTGAATCGTCGTGAAGATGCCAAGCATGTCCGACCTTCGAGCCCAAGACACCGTGTTTGAGAAGTACCCTACTCATTGTATCATTGTATGCGTGGGACGTCAAGTTTTAGCCGTCGGAGCGCCCTGCCGGTCGCCATGGGGAAGCCAAACCGTACTTAAGTGTCAAGCACAAGTTGTATGGCTCATGATCGAAGCCTCTGTGCCACCGCAAGGTCACCTGGTGGACATGAGTGCTGCACATCTCGGCGCCGTGGCTGACTTGACGATTCTGCGCACCCGCATGGACCAACACCACGAGGCGCTGAAGAAGACCGAACAAGAGCTGAACATCATCGACCACGGCGAGCAAGTAGATGCCCACCGCGACAAGTGGGCATTCCTCGTTGACAAGGGCTACTACGGTGCCATGGCGGTGTGGAGAACTTCTTTGGACGTGTGTGCAGCCTATGGACGGTGTCGTATGCAACATTCACGTGGAGGCAAAAGTTCTATTATGGTATTCAAGGTCTAACGTTTGCGTTGACGAACTTTCATATCTCGCTAATGCCTTTGCGTGATACTGATCGTCAGTGGTACCGGTCTGTGATTGCCCGCTACGGAATATGGTTATATCGACAAGTGGAGAGGCGTGCGGAAAACCAGCGTAGTTCGCGCTACTGTCGCATTGAACGACTTGCACTTAAAGGGGGCGACGGATTTTAAGGGACACTTGCTACTTCGAATTTGCCATTTCATCGGAAAAGATTGGTTGAATAACTTCGAACTTCGATGAAAATCTCGATATTTAGCCAATCACATAATGCTTTTCATATATTCAAATCTTATTGGCTATAATATTCTGTACTTCCATAAAACTTCGGTGTCCCTTAAAATCCGTCGCCCCCTGTAGTCGTGGGCGAGCTTCTCAGCAATTCCCATCTCCTTTTTCGGCACCATCATAAGATAATTCGTGTGAATTGAATTCCTTATTGGATTGTTCTGAGTAGCAATGGATAATTAGGTAGTAAATGGGTACCAAACACGTTTAAAGCTGTTTGGAACAAATAAAACACGCGTTAAAAGGGTATTACATGAATATAAAAAAGTTATTAGGTTTTTTGGTCGCTATTTAGTAATTACTTTTTAGACGCTTTTTACCCTTTTTCTACTGTTTATATCCGTTTTATGGTGCACGTCATCTTGTAAATTATGACCTATTCCTGGTATACAACAAAGTCTATAAACTATCAACTTTTCACAAAATTTTCTTACTTCTATTTCGTATTCATTACTCAAAACTTCAGCAAATTGAGGCGTAGAATCGACAGATCTCAATGTGGTGAAGAAATTTTACGTCTCAGATTCAAATTTGGTGATGGTCCAGAAATAGATATTTAACCTAGCGGTATTTTACAAGGGCGCTTGGATATTTGGCCATAGGGGTGACCGCTGAGATGTATCTTGATTTTTATATGTGGCTTTTATCCGTATATTATATCCGAAGGCAGTTGGGACCTTTAACCTCCCACTGCAGTGATAAAACGCATGTAATCGGTATTTAACGTATTTTGTTTTTGGGTTTAACTACATTAACTGTACGTTAAATAATAAAACCTCCACTCTTCGATTTACCAGTTGGAAGTTTTTAGATGACGTGCACCATATAACCTAAAACCTGTTTTTAATGAGTTTATAACGTAATTGAAACCCGTTTTTAAGCATGCTCCATGGCGTATTTTTATTGACATAGTCGGAAGCTACCCACATTGCTCATCAGTGTGGCGAGTATTTCGGAAGGTTGCCTGTGTATTGGGAATTCGTCGGAGTTCATTCAGTTCTCACATCTATTGGATAGCCCTGTGCTACTACTTCGACGTCCTGTGTTTCAGTGAGGTATCTTGTTCAAACAACAATCTTAGGATATAACATGATAGCTGGAAAACTACTTGGTACTCCCCCTAAGCAGCCTAGTAGTATTGATAGAGACTTTTCGGAGTGCCACTTTTCAGTTGAAATAGCAAAATATCCTACCAAAATTAATTATCATGTATGAATGGATCTTGATAAAGCAGTGGAGGCACCTTATCTCAAAAATGGTTGGACGTCCAAGGTTGCAAGATACGGATATATCTACGGATAATACAGGTCCTCCATTCTCCTCTTTGGTTGATGGCTACAACAACTGACGAAAGCGACACCACGCCGCTTCCCACAGGAAAGTTCGCATGTTGCCACGACATCATGCTGCTCCAACAGGTGTCCCTGTCGTGACCGTGGGAGGGTGAATACGGGAAGGTGATGACGATCTGGCGATGTTGCGACAGAGTTGAAGCGCATGCCTGGATTTTCAATGGTAAAGAAGCCGGGGGCGCTAAATACCAGGTTCGAATACCTGTTGGCAAAGCACGAGACGGGGGAGAGTGCGTCGTTGCGCAAGTCGGGGACAACCGAGGAGTACTCTGAACACGACCAGCTCCTGACAGACATCAAGTTGCGCATGGACGATTTTGCCAAGAACGAAGCCGCGCGCAAGGATGCTGCGAAGCGGAAACTGGAAGGCGTCGAGAATTCGGGATTGGTCATGCGCCAATTGGCCATGGCAGAGCTTGAAACGTCTGCCAAGAAGATCGAGGACGCTGAGATCACTCCGATCAAGCAGAGCAAGAAGTCGAAGAAACCAGCTCCTACCCTCGATATTGCGAGCCTTATGGGCATCATTCGTGAAGGCATTGAGAACAAGGAGCGGCGTGAGGCGCAGCGTTTACAATATGATCGTGAACAAGCTAATCGCCATGATGAGCAGCTTGCTGCGCAACAACGTAATAGCGCAGGAAAATGATCAGGATAGGCACTGGCGGCATCCATATGCTGGGTCGCCATACAATCAGTAGCGTGACAGAACCCCGTCTTCCTTCATCCTGTCCAGTATGCGGCTCACGGAGAGCATAGTGGAATCATGGCGTCGCCCCTCTACCGGCCCATACATGCTGATGATGATGCCGTCAGGAGCGGTGATGCCTTGCCAGTTCAGACAATGGCGACGGGGGTGACCGTTGTACACCGAACGTTGAAGGTTCACCTGCTCTTGACCTTCTGCTCGCGCCGACGGACGGCTGATGTACTGCTTCGCCCCATCAATGAACGCAACACAGGTGTGCAACCCTCTGAGGCCACTCTTCGACTCGATCGCACCGGAATAGATTTCTACTGACATACTTACAACAGAAATACGTGTTAACACGTACCAACTCGGTCTATGAGCAAGGCTTCGTGAAAGAGGATCACATCGCTCCAAGTCTTGTACAGAGAAGTTGCGGTTGCGCGGACGATGCGGCTGCAGGCCTCGACGGAACGCCCGAATTCATCTGCAATGGTGAAAAGTCGACAGGGCTCAGTCAGGCGTCGACACAAGATTGCAAGTGCCTCGAGCGACACCACTTGATCGGAGCTCGGTGTACTGATAAAGGCTGGCAGTCGTAGAGCCACAGCGAGCACGCGGAGTTGGTCGATTGTGAACCGGAACTTGTGCACTGCCGTGTCGTTGTGCATGTCATGGTCGAAATTGTTGTTGTACAAGACTATTGGCTTCTCGGGCCTCAGTCTCATGAATTTGGATACCATTAAGCCTTGAATTACGGTGAGAAACATGTCGAAATCACCATGGCACTGCTGCATTACGCAGGCAATAAGGGACACCAGCTCTCTATTGCGAAGGAGATTTTTGACCAGTAACGTAATCCGGATAATCTAGGAGTTAACTCAAAACCTTTCCGAAAGTTGCCCGAAAGTTTAAATTGCTTGGTTTTCAGTTCATTTCCACAAGTTGAATCTTAACTGAAAAGCTCTTACGAAAACTCGCAAATAACGTTACTTCGATTGAAAACAGACTTCCGGTTACAGAAATGATGGAAATGATGGTCGTCCA